GAAAAAAAAAAAAAAAAAAAAAAAAAAAAAAAAAAAAAAGGAAAGGGAAAAAAAAAAAAAAAAAAAAAAAGACCAAACCAGCCCGATGATGATGAATACATTGGAAAGTTTTTTTGGCCCTGGTGAGGGTGTCAGATTGAATGCTCTGTGCGCATGTGCGAAGGTGTCCAAACTGACAATGCTGGGTTTTTTTTTTTTTTTTTTTTTATTGAGTCGTTCCAAGTCTTGTGAAATAATATTCCCGGCTCCTGAAATAGTGGGCGCTAGAGGTCTGCGTTTGGCATCTGCCGGCGGGAGCCGAGAGACGGAGCGCTGGAGAGAGGGGGGAGAGAGAGAATGCTCTGTGCGCATGTGCGAAGGTGTCCAAACTGACAATGCTGGGGAGATGAAGATAGTGTGTAGCTGCTTCTGGGCTCAAGGAGGAGGAGAGGAATCCACACGCCGACACGATGAGATCCAAGGCGAGGGCGAGAAAACTGCCCAAAAGTAGGTCCTTTCTCTCCCTTCTTCCGCGTACCGGCGGCGGGGCCGGGGGCACGGAGCCGGGCCGGGGGCTGCGCGGGGCTGAGCCCCTCTCGCCCTCCCCGCGGCGGCCGCAGCCCCGCCGCCCGCCCGCCCCTGGGCNGGGGGGGGGGGGAGTGGGAGAAACCCTTCTGGTCTCGGGAACAATTATCGAGGAGAGGGAAGGAAGAGAATTTGTAGCAAAAATGGATCCGCTCTCAGTGAGGGGCTTTGGAGTCGCAGGTCCAGAGGGAAGATCCTGAAGGCAGCTCGGGTGTCCCAGCTGGGGGTTAAGAAGGTCTGGGGGAGGGGAATGTGGGGGAGTGTCTTTAATTTTTAATTTTTTAAAATTTACTTGGGGGTGGAATTGCAGCTCCTAAGTCTCGCGCAGCTTTTTCCCTCCGTCTTCCAGCGGACCCTCTCCCGTTCGTTCTTTCTTTCGAGTCGTTTTTAGCCTGGATTTTCCGAGGAGGAAGGAAAGTGTGGCTTTTGTAGGGAAGAGCGGGTCCTCTCTGCCCCCGCTGCCTCAGAGTCCCGCTGCAAAGGCTCGGGATGGTTCCTCGGTGATTCCCTGTTAGGTTCCGGTGGCAGCGCAGGATTCTGGAGCCCGGGCAGCCAGTCTGTCCTTTCATTATTATTATTATTATTATTATTATTATTATTATTATTACTACTACTACTATTATTTAGTTTCTGTTTCGCTCTGTGCGAAGTATCTGGAGCTGCAGAAGTTCCAGCGCACTCTGTGCCCCGCTGGAAACTCCGCTCGTAGCGCTCGGAAAAGGCTCGGGCGAGCAGCGCTACCCGCTCCCGTTCCTCGCGTGGGTTTCCACGGGAGCCCCGGGGGGGACCTGGGGCCGCTCAGAGCCGGGCATGGGGCGGGGGGATCCCCGCAGGTGATGGAGAGCAGTCCCCCCTGCAAAGCCCTTTGGGGTTCAGCCTCTCCCCGCGGCTGCCGAGGGGTCACGGGCGCTCCAGCGCTCCCGCACGTGGGCTCCGAGGTTGATTTTGTCGTTCAAGTTCGTCATTTCGGAGCCTTTCCAGGCCGCCAAGGTCAGCGAGGGCCGGTGCCGCCCCCGGGATGAGCCGCGGTCCCCCCTTCCCGGGGAGGACACCCCCGTTCCAGGGGGGACCCTTCTCCAAAGCCAGCGCGGCTCCTGGGGCCACTTTTCCTCACAAAGTCGCTTTGTCGCCGGGTTTGTCGCCGGCCCCGAGCTCCGGCCGCCGTTCCTGTTTTGCGGCCGCCACGCAGCAGCCCCAGGCCCCGCGGTTCACCTTGGTGTCGCGACATTTTCCATCGCGATCCAGGAAGGTCCCCCTGTCCCCAAAGCGTGTCCGTGTGTCCCCCGAACACCTCCCTCGGCTCTGCGGGCACCAGCGCTGCTCGGGGCGGGATGGGTGACCCTTTAGGTGGTCAATATTGTCATTCCATCGCTGGGGAGTTCTAAGGGAAGTTCATTAAATTAATCCAGGGATTTTATTTTACTTTAATTTATTTTTTCAATAAACACTCGTTTTAAGCGTCCCCGTTCAAATAATAACTTTTTTAAAAGTCGTCAGTTATTGGTTTAGATTGTTAAAGTGAGGAATGATTTTCAGAGCTCTCTTCGCTGGAAAAGCGAAGTTCAATGGTTAAATAAGGTGGAATATTTCACTTTTACTTTTATTTTCTTTCTTATTTTTTTTTTTCCTCTCCTCTCTTTCTCTTTCTTTTCACTTCTTGAAAAGGCCCCGGGTTTTTTTGCAGATGTGCCCCGGCGGGTTCAGTGCGGGTTTTTACAGATGTGTCCCCGCTGGGTGCGATGCGGATCCGGCCGCGTTTGAGCGCGGGTGGGACCTTCCACGCTCCCGCCGTGAGCTCTAGCGAGCTCCTGCAGCTGAAGGGCTAAAAGATTTTCGGTGCCTGGGTATCTCAAGAGCTCGGGGAAGAGCTGAGAGCTCCGCGGCCGGGAGCGAGCCCTTCCCGGCGGCCGGAGCCGCGGCCGCGAGCGCGCCTGGAAGCGCCTGCTCGGAGGCTGAGCCCTGATTAAAATCAGGTGTTTAATACAATACAAGGCCCAACGGTTTATGGGGTTTCAGGCGAGGATTTTTTAGGGATCACAGTTCAAAACAGTAGTCCAGAGCTAAGGTTTCAATATCCCAGGAGTATTTATTTGCCAAACAGATTAAACACGGACACGAGTGTGGGATCTCGTTGTATTTTCTCCGGCGAGGTAGCCACAACTTCTTTCACCGCACGGGACCCCGCAGGTCCCTTCCCAGCTCGCTTTTCTGGCTGCTGCAGCCCCGGGAGCGGCTGTGGGTGCTGGGAGAGCCCGCACGGCCGCCGAGCCGGGCGAGGCAGCGGCACGCGAGGCTTTAAAAACACGCTGTGCTGGAAAATTTCATTTCATTGGACAATATTTTAAGCAGATGTGAGGCACCGCTGGGAATTCGACAATATTACCTGTCTGGGAAAAGGGGCGAACTCTTGTGCGCTGGGGTGGGAGCGGAATTCTCGGCGGTTTCAGCGCCACTCACACCGGGAGAGCGGCAGGTACCGGGGGCAGCGGAGCTGAACCGGAGCCGGGGATGGTTCTCGCTCGCTCCGTGGCTCCCGGCCGGGCTGGGAGCCTTTAGAAACGGCTGTAAATCAAAAGACGGGGCTCGCTCAGGGTGCGGGGAGGCGCAGCAGCCCCGGGGGTGCCGGCGCCCAGGTGAGCGCTGCCCCCGCATCCCCCGCAGGACCGGGCTGTGCCCCGCGGCTCCGGGGGCTCGGCCACCCGCAGCCTCGAAGGGGATCAGCGGGACGGGCAGGTAGAAGGCCACGCCGTGTCCCCGGCGCCAAGGGCCTCGTCCTTCCGCGAGAAAATAAAATCTGGGGAGAAGGCTCTGCAGCAGCCGGGGTCTCGCTGCTGCTGGCAGAGGGAGGATGCAGAGGAGGTGAACTACACAGGAGTTGGGCGCTGCACGCTTAAAGCGAATTCGTTTCCTTTCGAAATCCCTGAATTTCAGAGTACAACTACAACACCAAGCTGCACGCGGCAGGGCAGGATAGCAGGCTCTTGAATAAATGCTCGTGCTGGCAAAAGGTGGTTGATATTTCTGCAGCTCCGTTTGTTTTCGCTGTTAGGAACAGGACGGAGGAACATTTTGGGGCCGGAGTTTTCAGGCAGCGCTGGTGCATCCTCCGGGCAGGCTGGATTGGCAGGAAAATGGTTGTGAACCCAGCCCTGCCGTGCCCGGCACCGCTTCCTCGGTTTCAGGCTTCGCCTTCGAGGAGAGAACAGGCTTCCAGTTTACCGATATTTTATTAATTTTATTTTAATTAAGGCTGAAGAGACAGTGAAGGGGAAAGGGAGAGGGAGAGGAGCGAGGAGAACTGGAGCCCAAGCGCCACTTCCCGGCGCATGGCTCCGTTTGTGCTCCCACAGACGCTTCCAAAGCTGCAACGCACGGACGAGGAAAATTTATGGCGCTTTGGGGCTTTCAGATTTTTTTCCCCATCTCCAAAGCTCTCCCTCTGCCCTGTCCCTACCCAGAGCCCCGGGGGCGGACATCGGGGAGCGGAGGGAGGCAGCGCTGTGCCCGACCCGCTCCCCTGCCCTCGGTGACCGGGATGTCCCCAAAGCTCTCCCGAGGGCGGCCGCGGGTGCGGAGCCCCGCGCAGGTGCGGGGCCGCCGCCGCCGGGTCCCCACCGTGGCTGGGTCCCCCCCTGTCCTGCCCCGGATCTGTTCAATTAGGCAATTAGAGATGCGGGGCAGAGAAGGGGGGGGGTGTGGGGGGTTTATCCGCTAATTAAGATGATGCGTAATTAGCGCTTCAACAAAAATCGCCGAGGATTTGAGATCACTTTACTCTTAATTTATTTTTTCTTCCCCCCACCCCCCAAAATCTACAAATGTAATGTATCAATTCCCCCACTCGTCCCGCGTGGGTTATTTGGGAAAAAGCACAGAGGGAACAACTGCAGGGCACGTCCTCTCCTTGGCCTGGGCAGGAACTTGGCAAACGGGGGCACCGAGCTGGGGCTTTGACGAGGGGCACTGGCTGCTCTCACCCGCAGAGCAGCAGCTCCGAGGTGCCAAAGTGCTGCTGGAGACGCAGGGATCGGAGATTGGGGTCCGGCCCTGGCTGCCGGCAGTGCTCCTGGGTGTCCGAGCAGCTCGGATGAGGTGCGTGTGATGCCCATCCACGTGTGCTCACATCACGGGGCACTGGCGGGTCTGCGCAGAAATATGAGTTTATAAAGTGCGTCAGAGAAAAGCACGTTATCCCAAATTCGCCGAATTCCCGACTTCACTGAATTCCCGTTTCCTGTAAAACCTCCGTGCCGGTGCAAGACGCGTCTGTCTGTGCAGAGGCGTTTGTCTGTCGGACTGGCAGCACACATACAAAGGTCTTAAAACACGCATTAAAATCACAGCTACTGTACGGTCACGACCCAGAATGTTCTGTGCAGAAATCGGAGTGAATCTGTACTTTATGTTTAGTTTTTTAACTCGACCACCTAAACCTGCTTTATTTTTAGGCTTTGCACTGAGGCTGATGTGTGAGTTCAGGGATGGCAGAGGAGGTCTTTAATGAGCTGGGGGGATAAAAATAAACCCAACATTTTCCTGAGGGCTGCTATTAAAAATACCTGGGAAAGACACTGATGTCGGGAAAGCACTGAATTGCCTTTTTGCCCGATTTTAGGCACATATTAGCGGGGTCAGAAAACCCCGAGGGGAGCAGGGGTGGGAAGAGCCGGCCGGGATGAAGCGCAGCGCACCTGAAGCGCGCACGATCCCCGCTCCCTCGCAGGCAAAAAGCGAGGCAGGAGCTTGGATTTCACCCCACGGCAGCTCTGTAATTCATCGCTACCGCTCGCTGCAATGATACCCCGGCTCCTCGGGCGGCTGGGAGCGTTTCACGAGCGGGGAATTCTGCCGGGATTCTCCGGCAGGTTCCACCTGCCCGCCGGGCTGCGGGCTCCGCTCCCTGGAGGGAATGCCTCGGGAAT